GGGCAGGTTTAAGTTTACGGACCTGTTGCTATGACAGCAAGTCCAGGATGAGCTTCGAAGAACCAAATAATCCAAGATCATGCCAAATCATCAACAATCAAATCCAACTAACTGAGTTAGCGACGTACGAAGAACGGCCCCTGTACTAATGTTGTTGACTAATGTTTATGTTTTTAGTACTGAAGTACAAGATGGACTGAAACATTTGCTTTTTTCTTTCTTTCTTTTGTTTTTTTCTTTCACATTTTTGTGAAAGAAGTCACATTTTTGTTAGAACAATTTGATGTTTTATTTATCACTTTCAGTGTGAATTTTCGGTAAAATAATTTTCAATGGTCTTTGAACTTTATTTGGAACATAAAAGAAATAGGAAAATGTCCAAGCTAAATTGTGGTCTATAAAGCACTAGTCATCTTAACTACTTTTATGCAGCAGGAACATTTGTCAAAATATCTACTTTTGTGTTTCACAAAAAATAAAGTCATTCCGAATGACATGAGTGTGATTAAAGATTGAACATACAGTATTTTAATTTCTGGAAGAACTGTCTCTTTAACTTTCTCCACAGACAATAAAATTTTTATTTTGGGGGGAAAAAAAAACTGACAGAGAGCAAACACCTTCTTCAATGACATTCTTCAATATTTGGATGAATTAATATTACATTAAAACAGAAAAACTTTTGTGAAGGTTACCATGAGACCACGGTATAGTCTAAGTAACAGATAATTCTGTTGTACCTTGATAAAAAAAAAAGCTGGTACTTGACTATTTTCATATGGTATTTACAGGGTACACTAATATGATTAAAATAATTCCATGGTACTATCATGGTATATCTAAAGCAATATGGTACATGTCCAAAAACATGTGCAAATCAAAGTAAATATCTTCATGAAGGGCACTTTAATATGGCAGTAAGCCAAATGTACATATGATGGTTAATATGAGTAATTTTGTCATGGATCGTGTGATTTTTAGTGTATGTCCTCACAACTATTGCTAAAACCATTGTAAATATCAAGTGTAAATTTACCAAAAATGTAGTAGTTTTAGTAAATTAGTAATTTTTAGTAATTTTAGTACGTCATTTAATAATTTTTTAATAATTGCTCATCTGTTCTGAAAACATTACAAATCAGAAGAAAATATAATGAAGCATTTGCCATCACATTGTGACATTTTTTATTGTTTATTTTTGATTGTTTATTTGTTGAAAATGAAATAATGTTTCTGAGCAGCCATAACCCTGCTACAGTAGTTAAAATGACAAATGTGATGTTACTTATGCCGGGGTTTAAACGTGAGAAGCCCTTTAGTATTTTTGAGGCAGCCTACAGTCAACATTTTTGGATGTCATCTTGAACCTTTATCCTGATATCTACTTTTGTGGAATTCTAATAAGCCAGTTCAATGAAATTGTCAAAAAGCCTCTTCAGTAAAGCTTCATATGTCAATGTGTCACTGATAGCGTTTAATCATGCTGTCAGAATTATACTGATCATGTTTTGTTTTTTTTTCTCCCCAGGAATCTTTTAGACAGAGACACGTTCTCCAAATCTGATCCATGTGAGTACAGCCAATGGAAGATGAAACTGAGCTTTGCGTCTCTTCATTTTATACCCGTTCTGCATTAATTAGCGACCCCCACTCGTTTTCTCTGCAATCTCTTGTCTTTCGCCTCTCATCAAACATCAGTGTGATTCTGAAGAGTTCTTCTCATCTACATCGCTCTGCATGACTCCAACGAACCTGAATGAAACATGAACTCAAATGCGCAATGGCAGCAAGTTTCATAGAGACCCTTTGAAGAGAAAAGACAGATTGAGCTGAAAAATAGGGAGAAAAGAAAGAGTTTCACTAAGTGGATCTCTCTCCTCTCTGAAAGAAATATCTCTTTACTTCTCATCTGCTAGAGTGGTAGAGAGGGAGTTATAATAAAGAAATTGTTCATTTATGAAATGAGCGTACGACCGAAAACTGGGCGTACCGTCGTTTCCATGCAAAACTTGGTATTTATCAATATGGATGTGAGGGGTGGCTATGATCAAATCTCACGCCAGGTCTCAGTTCGTGTACGCAAGTATTTCAGCTAGCCTGAACTTGCATGCAGCATAGTAAATCTGGCAGAGTATTGTATAATAACAGCATTTAGATAATTTTTCTGACCGACAACCAACGCTCATTAGTCGATCATTAACCAGTAAGATTAGAACACTTCTGTGAATGGAGAAAAGCAGAAATTAAGGATATAAAATGAATAAAATAAATAGGACTACACAAAATATATTTATCTTAAATAATTAACAGATTAACAAAAGAAAAAAAACTGCGACAAGTATAGGCTACGCTCTTTTTTGTGATACTCTTAATGCATTTCATTTGTTTTCTTTATATCTTTATTAAATCCAACTGATCGTGCAGGCACCTCACGCACACACACAACATATCAGCTCTAACATTCCTAACTGTACATTTCAGCCATTCATAATCAAACTAAAATGCAATCAACCAAATGTAAAATTTGCACTCCTCAATTTAAAAGGTCTGCTGTAAAATCAGCGTGCAGCACCCAAACAAAAACATTTTTGCGCACATGAATGATGATGTTTTATATTATGTTTTCATAATTATTGAAAAGCCTCTTACAAACACTAGTGAAACGAAAAACGTTGATAAACCTTAGTGAAATTCATTCATATGCATTACTGAAAACCTCTTACAAACACTAGTGAAATGAAAAACATTGATAAACCTTAGTGAAATTCATTCATACGCATTACTGAAAACCTCTTACAAACACTAGTGAAATTAAAAACATTGATCAACCTTAGTGAAATTCATTCATACGCATTACTGAAAACCTCTTACAAACACTAGTGAAATTAAAAACATTGATCAACCTTAGTGAAATTCATTCATATGCATCAGTAATGCGTATGAATGAATTTCACTAAGGTTGATCAATGTTTTTCGTTTCACTAGTGTTTGTAAGAGGTTTTTCAGTAATGCATATGAATGAATTTCACTAAGGTTTATCAATGTTTTTCGTTTCACTAGTGTTTGTAAGAGGCTTTTCAATAATTATGGCCTATACGGCCCCTCATAGTTTTACGCGGATTTATGGAACACGAGTGTAGTACAAAGCCTTGTTTGCATAATGAATTATAGTTTAGCAACCAAATGTTACATGGAAAAATTGAAATATTTAATATACATATAAATTAATGTAATTGTTTGCAAGTTCAATGGCTCTTTTTGGAGTAAGATCAATTTCTCTTTTATGAGATTACTTCCTCAATTTAGCCGGGTTATGTTTCTCCGTGTCGTAAACTCTAGGGACAAAGCTTCTAAACCGGGGTATTTTTATGGGCATGACAATTGTTTTCAGCCGCCACATTTATCAATGTACGATCATTCGCATTAGCAGCATACAAATTTTTCATGAATCACATGTGAACCCTGTCGTAAGATGATTTCTGCACACAGATCTACACTCGTTTCTACGTTAGATTGATAAAGGAGGCACATTGGCTCAAACCCATATGATTTTCTTTCTTCAGTGAAACACAGAAGACAAATGTTTAAGTATGTACTGTAGGATATCAGACCGAATCAGACAATCTAAGATTTGGTCCAAACATGGTTGAAACATGAGGAGCCGAATTCCACAGAGGCCCAAGACAACAGGATGTTCATAAATCAGATCCTAGCACTATTGTGTGTCTATCAGGTCTTAAACATTTATGTATGTATGTATTTTGAATAACTATTGAATAGTTTATAGGATCATGTTCATGTTTAGTATATGTGTGTTTGAATCTTCTTGCTGGAAACGTTTCTTCCAATCAATTCTTTGTCAAATGTATCATATTCTTGTTATAGAAATCATGTCCAAAAGTATACTCCGCAAGAGCGTTAAAACTCGGACCATGTGCCTGATGAGATAACATTTTGATTTATGAACCTGCAAGATATCGAATTTCATCTGGAAATGAGAACTCATTTGACTGACAGAGACAGGTTATACCTCCTAAGAACCACGTCAAGTCCTGAGGTACGAAACTTCCTAGATCGACAGCCCACTCAAACAAAGTCAAGCTACCAGCTACTTTGCGAGGTCCTGATTAAAGAGTTTACAGACCCCGAGTCTGAACATGGACTGTTAACTGCCTTGGAGATCAAACAAGGTCGACAAGAGGTTCCACAAGCTTACTAAAACCGAGTCCGACAAGCCTACTTTGGTGCACACAACGAACCTGACCTTGAAGATAACAAAACATCCACACTCTTGAACGCTGTCACCAAAGACTCAAGCCTTGCACTGGACGACACCCAGTGGCATCACAACACCAGAGTCTTCCATCAAGAGCACAGAGAAAGTGACACTCATGTCCACGACAGCTTTCAGCCCAGCCGCTGGAAAAATCCATGGGAACAGCCACGCTTCTCAAGAAACCCAAAAGATAAGAACAACTGGAAACCTAACCAGACATCCAAAGGTAATCGCCTGACTCATCCAAGAGCAACTCGTGTGGGTAAGCGACAACAAAACCCACCTCAGCACCACTCAGACATGCACAGTGCTGAGTATGCACAAGAACAAGACAGCTTACCATCAGACGACATGGAACAAGTCATGAGACAAATGAAAGAATGATTCCCTTTGAGCTAAATTGACCTGTTTCCCTTACAGTACTGAAATCATAATGACTACATAATGAACATAAATATGGATTAACATGAAGGTGTCATAAACATACACGTTATGAATTTTGTCATCAGTTATATAAAAATAGAAATGAATAGAAAAAGAAATGAATGTTACCACATTTTTTTTATGTTTGCTTGTTTTTGAAATGATCGCAGCATTTGACAACAGAATTCCACTTTTGATTTCCAAATACTTCCAAATTCCTCAAATTTAATAGAATCATTTGTGAAACAGTTATATTTCACATCCCTATTGTTCATTAATGACGTCACTGATGTGTTGGATTTTAAAGCGGTATATTTGAATGGACTCATGCAGATTGATGATTTTCAGTAAATAATGACCATTTTTAGACTGTTTGTCACACATAACTATCATAAAGTTTTGGATTTGGAATGTGTTTTTTGAGAAGTTCACTATTTTATTATTAAAGTATAGTTTATAATGCAATTACAGTATATTTTTGCATGTATGCAAACATTAAACTCTCAAAAAACAAAAAAAAAACAAAGCTTTCACTGGGGCAGGTCACTAAGGTACAAAAGCTGAAAGGTACATTTTTGTACCGTATTTACCCCTAAATAGTACATTCATATACATCTTAGTACTTTGAAAAGTACATATTATTTTAAAAGTATATTAACATTTTTGCATATTAGCACCTAAAGTTTACATAGTAACTTTTGAAAGTACTGTAGGGACGCATCTAAATTTTGGCAAACAGAAATATTCCAACGGAACAGTGGTTTTTGGTTTCGGTTGAAATGGTTTCAAATATTGACGTTTATTTATGTCAATTTCTTTCACACATTGTGGATAAACTACAAGAGGTATACATGTCAGCTATGTGGACACTAGTGCTGGATTAAAAAAATATTTCTCTTTTTTAATTGATAATCATATGGATTCTTGAATCTCAATATCAGTCTTTTAGTCTGTGCTGTTTTCTGTTAATGTGTGAACTTCACTAAACATTATTTGTCACAATATCTCTGTAACGAAGGAGGCATGACAACGGAGTGGGGATCCACTTGCAGGCTTTATTTAAAGAGAGCGTGGTCAAAACAGGCAGGGTCCAGAAACAGCAAACAGTAATATTCGAGGCACAGGCAAAACGAGTAATCCACAGAACAGTCCAAGGTCGGGGCAGGCAGAAAACAATCAGAAAACCAGGTAAACAGTCCAAGATACAAAAACACAAAGGCAAGGCAAAACAAGAAAACATGGGCAGAAACACGGAAACTAGAAAACGTCATAGGCTATGCAAATCATCAGCGGTGAGAGTGTGTGTGTGCCATTCTTATAGTGTGTTACTGATGAGGTGATGAGACAGGTGACTGCAATTGGTGAGTGCTGATGAGTCCGTGCAAGAGATTATGGGAAATGGAGTCCGGGGTAAAGTGGCAAGAATCTGGAATGGAGTGCCCTCTAGAGAAGCTTACGGGCACTCCAGCTAGAGATCGTGACAGAGCCCCCCACCAAGCGGCTTCCAGACGCTCCAAACAAAATAGACTAAAGTCCAGGAGGGAGGTGGAGCAGAGGCAGAACAGAGTGAGGGATGGATGGCCAGGTCCATGAGGAAGGGAAGGAACAGGTGACTGAGGCAGAGCCAGCAGAGCAGAGAGCCAAGGCAGAGCCAGAAGCCAGGGTGGAGCAGGCGGAGCAGAAGCCAACTAGGGCGGAGCTGAAGACCACCAAAGTGGAGCTGAAGACCACCAGGGTAGAGCAGAAGACCACCAGGATTGAGCTAAGGAGCACCAGAATGGAGCAGGTGGAGCCAAAGACAACCAGGACAGAGCAGATGACCACCAGTGCAGGGTAGAAGACCACCACAGCGGAGCAGATGGACCAGGCT